AGATACCTGCCACAGCTGAGGATCAGCAAAGAGGCATAGGTTTTAAACACAGACTACCGGAAAGGTAAGTATGCAGCACCTACCTTAACAGAGTGGGCCTGGTCTAGTTTGGACAGGGTGCCTTTAAGGTGAACCTGGCACAAACTATAGCAATTTAAACGCACAAGACAATTCCATTAATCAGCAGAGGTTACTTTTAGCGACAACTGTCAGTCAGAATGATCAGATCATACAAATAGGTACCATTTGTCTTTTCTGTGGAAGGAAGCTTGGATTCTTATCTTCCTAAGCTTCCCTTTTGGTCCATCACTGTGATAGGTGCGCTTACTGAACAATAGGGAGGCAGTGATGGGAGTGGGATCAGTTTAAACTTTTGAAGCTCTTTTTTTCGTTATGTGTCATGATACCACATTATTATGTTAACGTGCAGTATTTCCCACATTAACAATAATCACCTTGAGAGAGCCCAATCATGTTGAACAAGTTGCCAACGTGCCACAATGAATATTTTCATAAACATTTTACAACACAACGCAATGAACAGATAGTTCACATCAGTGGGTTGCTGTATGCTAAAATGCAAATGCATTGTGGTATACTGGCTAGGTGCATTGGGTTGCCATTCAACATTTTCTGTTTGTGTGTGTACCATTTGGGAATTTTCTATTCAGTGTGCCAGAAGAGAAGCAACAGGAAGTTAGAAAAAACCTCCCAAAGTGAGGAAAATTCCCCTCCTAGATAGTAGTCTCCATTGGAAGATTTCCCCTGAGGTCTTACTTTGTGGACAATTTTGCAATTCCATTTGCTTTCTTTCTTGTTGACAATTGGCACCATGACAAATACAGAGGTGAATCTCCCCAATGGGCACAGCAATAATAACTTTATAGAGGGTCTACCCTAGGAGTGGGCAACTCTGGCCCTCCAGTTGCCCATGAGGCATTGCAAAACTGATAGTTACAGTCATGACTTCCAGAGGCAAATTTGGATTTCTAGTTAAAGCAAAGCAGGGGGACCATAGTTGTCTTCCCCTGGTCTAACCCTTGCCCACTCTTAACCAAACTCAAAAAAAAAATTGCCTAGAGGTACACTTTAACAGGACACTTACCAACTGTCAAAATGGCATGCTCCAAAATTTCGATAGGATGGAATTGGCGCCCCTGGCTCTACTTTATATATCTGATTCTGTACCTCATAAGCTTTAAAGTGATGACCTTGCTTCTTATCAGAATATATTGTTAGCATTTCCTTTATTTTGTTTCTTTACTCTGGTTGATGACTTAACGTAACTTTGCATAGACCCATTCCATCTGCATCCTCTAAACATTCTGATTCATGAAATAAATTGTCGCCATTTCCTCATGCAGGTGCATTCAGTGTTGTCATTGATATGTTCTGGAGTCCTCTGTCCTGTACGGAACCTGCGTGATCCCTGTGCTATGTATAGAGCACTATTCTTAGAAGCAAATTACTCACAGATTTCCCAGTCACCAGTACACTTCCATACTGTGAGGTCACTGAAGGGTTCCCATTTCAGACTCCCCCCCCCCACACACACACAACCCATGTCACCTAACCTCCGGCAAAGTAAAATAATCCCACATTAAAGTGGATGTATGGTCTTTTCAGTTATTTTTGGATAGGCGTGTAAAAATGATCATCTTTATGTAAATAATGCTATCGATGTATGTTAATGTTTATAAAATGTGCTTCCGGCACACATACAATATGTGGGCATAAAACTGACCTCGGACCTGACCAGACTTTATGACTCCAACTTTGCCACACTCAACACATCTATAACAGAAGACCTAAAATCCTGGAGACAACACACCTTCTCCTGGTTTGGAAGAGCAGCATTACTGAAAATGAATGTACTACCTAGAATTCTCTACCTCTTCCAGGCCATCCCCATCAAACTCCCGCGTGCGCTCTTTCACACGCTGGACACGACCTTCTCTTCCTTTGTGTGGAAAGATGGACGCCCTCGTGTGGCTCGGTCCCTCCTCAAATCATCCAAAGAAAAAGGAGGCTTAGGGGTCCCAGACATTTCTCCACGTTGTACTTCTGTGAAAACTCAATAAAACTTATTTGAAACAAAAAAATAAAATGTGCTTCCATGTATAATTTGTAATTGTGTACATAGGGGCAGCAATATTTGCTCATTACATACAAAGGCTCAGCCTCCTGTTTTGCAGTGCTATGGTTGTGCTTTACTTCTCCTTCTCCCAAAGAAAGATCATGCTGGCTGGCTCACTGAACACAATGCACTCCTTGTGCGGCTGATATGTTATCTCGGCAGTTATTAAGCAGACCTTGCATATCAGACCTTGCTTATTAGCTAGCCTACCCCCCACCATCTCCCGAATAAAGACTACAAGGATTATACTGTGTGTGTATGTGTGTATATATATATATATAATGTGTGTGTGTGTGTGTATGCATGTTCAGTGGTCGAGTTGGCCAAAAAAACAGACGTTAACAGCTAGGCTTTGCATACAGTTTAAAACATGAGAAAACCCTCCAGGCCGGCCTCCAACATATTTGTCTTGGCGAAGATAACCTCCCTGGGCCTTCAAACAGCATCCTTGGAAAGCTGAGGATCCCAAACCCTGTCCTCAGCCCTGGGGATTTTCTGGATTTCTGCATGAATGATTACTAAAATGTTATCTGAACCTCATCAGATGTGTCATAAACTCATTTATACAATGCATAATCTACTGCTTTCTGTTAAGCCTCCTCGAGCTCATCAGACCTAGGATAGCATTGGTTGCCTCTCTGTACCAAAATGGCTTAGCATACGGCTGAATTGACCCTTGTACCCCCAAGAAAAGGGTCTCTTGACTGACTGGAAGCATGGCTGTTTGTTTTAGATAAAGATTTCTGGTAAGGTGCTAAAAAATGTGTGAGTTACACACCTATTGTTCTTGGGGTTGGGCTAAGGGGAGCTCATATAAAGGGAAAGTTGGTGGGTGCAGAGCCTCTTTGATCCCTGGCTCCTGCACAGTAAGATACTTGGCACCGATGCAGGAGCCAGAGCCTCCATCCCTCCCAAGAAAGCACTGTAGCTATACTTTTCTGTAACTATACTTTTGCTTTATTTGTGGGCTTGTAACTAGCTAGCGAACAAGGGTATCTGTTAATGCCCTCAGTGGGCTGTGTCAAGACAGTGCCTCTCCTGGACTGATGGAAAATATCCCCCAAACCATTTCCACCAGCCTGAACCGTTGATACAAGGCAGGATGGATCCATGCTTTCATGTTGTTTACGCCAAACTCTGGCCCGACCATCTGACTTTCGCAGCTGAAATCGAGACTCATCAGACCAGGCAACGTTTTTCCAATCTTCTATTGTCCAATTTTGGTGAGCCTGGTTTCCTGTTAGCTGACAGGAGTAACATCTGGTGTGTTCTTCTGCTGCTGTAGCCCATTTGATTCAAGGTTAAATGTGTTGTTCGTTCAGAGATGGTATTCTGCATACCTTGGTTGTAACAAGTGGTTATTTGAGTTACTGTTGCCTTGCTTTCACGTGGAACCAGTCTGGCCATTCTCCTCTGACATCAACAAGGCATTTTCATCCACACAACTGCCGCTCACTGGATATTTTCTCTTTTTCAGACCATTCTCTATAAACCCGAGAGATGGTTGTGCGTGAAAATCCCAGTAGATCAGCAGTTTTTGAAATACCCAGACCAGCACCTCTGGCACCAACAACCATGCCACGTTCAAAGTCACTTAAATCCCCTTTCTTCCCCCATTCTGATGCTCGGTTTGAACTTTAGCAAGTCGTCTTCACCACGTCTAGATGCCTAAATGCATTGAGTTGCTGCCATGTGATGGGTTGATTAGCAATTTGTGTACCTAATAAGGTGGCCGGTGAGTGTATACTACATGAAGCTAATTGGATGCTCATGAGTCTGCTGTGACTGTTCTAGTTTATAGTTAGTTTTACTGAGTTTAGATTTTGATGGACAATCAGTAATTAACAAACCCATAGCCTTGCCCTTCCAACCAATCTAATTTGGTGTTTTTCAAAAGGGGCAGGATAAGGTTTTTTTTCGTGCCATAACCTCATCAGTCATGTCATGATGGGGAAAATGTGGCCTATTAAGTATATCCCTTCTCCTGGTAGGCCCCGTGCCAGGAGATCAGTTGAAAACAAGGGACCACCAACATAAAGGAGAACCTTTGAAACTAGAGAAAACATTGCTTTACATAAGGGTTGTTGTTATTATTTGTAAAGCTTTTATATTTGAGTTATCACAATCTGTGTGTTAATGACAGCATTTCTCTGTTTTACAGACGTTGAACCCAAAATGGAATGAGGAGTTCTTTTTCAGGGTGAGTAGTTTTTTCTTTTTTTATTGTGTTTAGTTAAGGCTATCGTCTGTCTCCGTGTATGCTTCCTGTAGAGCGGTCTGGATGAGGGTGAGAATGGAATGAAGAGGCCAGGGTTATTTTTCCACTGTGTTTTGTCCATTAAGTCTTTTTATAGAACTTCAATTGGCTTAGCAGACAAGCTTAATCTCCCCTCTGCAAAGAGCCGGATAAGAGTGCATTGCAGGATAACGCTCTGTGCAAAGTACGGGCCTGTAATGGTCTGGACAGGCCTTTAGAATATAGATAGCAAATCTCCACAAATAGCAGGTTATGGGGGAGTATATATTAAAGAAAGATTCAGGACCATTTTAAAGGTTTGGTTCATCCAACAGTAATATTTCAAGTATTTTTTAGATGTTGAATATCTACATCAACTATATCCCAACGTTGGTGGGGTCTCTGCACTTGCTATCTGTTCTCACCCTCTAGCCACTTGCAAAAGTTAGAGCATCTAAACTAGAAAACAAAATTGTTGCAGTTTACCATCTCTGTACTTTCTATCCGCTCTCCTAATTCGGTTTGTATAATGAAAATCAGCATTAGTGATTGGAACACCTCTGCTGTAGCAAAAAAGTTTTAGGTCTCAAGGTCTGGAAAGAGACCAAGACCAGGAACTTCCAACTGTAGTTCCAGACTTTACTAATGGCTGTTATGTCACTTGGCCCCTTTTAAGAAGAACTCCATGCAAAAGCTATATAAACAGTTGTCATGCAGTGCATATAAGATCGATATTTTACTTGTCATATGATTTATTTTTACAGCTATCTATTTTTGAGATTTACACAGCCCAATCAGACAGCCCAGCCAACGTGGTGACCCAACTTATCTCTGTTTAAGTTAAGCAGCAATGCTTGGTCACGTTTCTGCCCCCTGTCTATGATTGGACAGAGAGAAAGCAGCAGTTAATCAGTCTACACACTGCTCCTATTCATACAGCACATCTGATTGCTTCTTGGTGCTCCCCCTCCCCCTCCATATACAGGTGAAACTCGAATAATTAGAATATCGTGCAAAGTTCATTTATTTCACTAATGCAACTTAAAAGGTGAAACTAAGATATGAGATAGACTCATTACATGCAAAGCAAGATAATTCAAGCCGTGATTTGTCATAATTGTGATGATTATGGCTTACAGCTCATGAAAACCCCAAATCCACAACCTCAAAAAAGTAGATTATTACATGCAATCAATAAAACAAGGATTGTACATAGAACAATATCGGACCTCTGAAAAGTACAAGCATGCATATGTACTCAGTACTTGGTTTGGGCACTTACTGCAATTACTTTTGCACGATATTCTAATCGAGTTTCACCTGTAAAATCAATTGCAGAAAGGTGATGCCAAGTAAGATGCAGCTACTTTGTCTAGGTGTATATGAAAATATATTTCATTATGTTTTATTGGTTACCTAACTGATTTCATTGGTGTTTTTTTTTACCTGCCTTGGGTCTAAATTTTACATACACGTGAACGCATTTCACATTTCCTCTAAGCTGATTTTACCTAAATCGCCCCATAATACTTAGCTGGCATTAGTATTTGAAGCAGACTAGGTTGGGGGTATATAGAGGCCAAGTCTGCCTTAGTAAAAGAACCTCTGTCGCTTGAACGGGCTGCTTTAACACAACGCATGTTAACATGCCAAGGTTCCAGTAGGTGCTTAGACAATTGTCACTGGAACGTGTCTTCACCGGAAGGTTTCCCCTCACATCTTGTTTTATTGACAACTCTGCAAAATGTGGGTTTTCCCACCACTTTCTCTCTCAGTGATCATGGTAAGCAGGACAAATAATGAGGGTAGTAAAGACACAGAGCGCAATAAAACGTGATAGGGGTTCTAATTCATCACTACGCTATTCAAAACTAAAAAAAAGTGTTGGCCATACATTGCCTTTAAAAGCTGCCCATACACTAGTAGAATGTCTCTTTCATTTGAAAAATCTCATTTAGAACATTCGATAATGCCATTAGAGACTAAAGACAATTTGTTTTTATTTTAACATTTGATTTTGGAAATGAATGGAGTTTCCTGAATAAAAACCACAATCACTGTTAGAATTTCCTTTGTTCAAGAAAAGTTTCCTATCCCGCTCCTTAGATTTTTTTATTTTTTTTGTCACTACAGTCAAAATCGATGGTCAATTTGACCCCATTAACCATCAGAAAATCGAACGAACGTTCCAAAAAATGTTTTTTAGCGCAAATTTTTAATGGCATATTCCCAACTTAAAGTAGAACTATGACGATCATCTCCCTGCAGAGAGCATTGACTACCGGTCACGGCTCCCCGCAGGGATGCTCCGGTCCTCCTTTGCTGAGTGGAGGAATGGACGGGGGAGGGGGCGGGTATAGCTGGCTCTGTCTCTAGATAGGCAGAGCCAGCTGTCACTCACGCAGCTGGGTGGATCTCAACAGTAATGTCTTGATCCGTCCCGGCTGCGGCGTTCTCAGTACACCGCGAGCTGTAGCTCGCAATATACTGAGCTTTGGGTCACGGGAGGATGCTAGTATATATCCTCCCGTGACCCTTAAGAGAACCTTGGGGAAAAACACTTACCCCATAGTTCTCTTTTAAGGTATATCTAAACCCAAAAAAACAAACATTTTATATATTGCAGCTTACCATTTCCTAAACGTAGTGGCTGCATTAGGCTGGCCATACAATGCTCTATTTATTTTGTTCAACCTCTGGGCTGAACGAAAAACAGAGCAGGCTCCCCCATCAAGTGTGTAGATTGAGGAATCCCCGCTGTTTGCATTGTATTCTGAGAGCAGCCACTGTCAGGATACCTGAACAGAGCGGGCAGCTCATTGGCTGTGCGCTCTGTTTCTACAAAGATTTTCCAACCGACTCCTTCCATCAGATCAGATCGAGGGATGCCTCAACGGTTCCTCAAGAAGCTGAAATTCGCACAGTGTATGGCCACCCTTAGCTTTCTTTTTTTGGGCTTTTTGTTTTTGTCCTTTATTTTCACCTGCTCATCCAGCCAGTAACACACTTCCTAACTTAGGATGACTCCATTCTATGGAGGAACAGCATAGCCACCCCTGGACAGCAGCATTGTCACCCTGTGGAATGGGTGGTGTTAGATGGACTTGACATTTAGATGGTTTTCACAAACAAATTAAAGCCGAGCTTCAGATAACACTTTTTAAGTTACAACAAGTTTTTCTTTTTTTCCTTTTGGGATAGAGGTTTTACATAAACGAATAAAAACTAACCATTGTAAGCACCCCTGTCAGTTATAAATGGTTTGTCTCAATCCTCTATCTGCCATTTTTGCTGGACAGCTTGGCCTGTTAAAGGAAGTTAAAAAATAACAGACTTACTGGTCGGATTGCCTGGTGAAAACAAAGGGGGGGAAAAGCCTGAAAAAATAAAACAAAAATGCAGCCACCACATCTAAGAATCGGTAACCTTCAATATATTACATTTTTGTTTTCGGGTTTAGATAAGCTTTAGGTCTTTATAGAATGGGCTGTTCTTTACAAACCATGGTTGACATTCTGTATTAGATGTGCTCAGATTTTTGTATGGGGTCTTGGTTGGCTTTCCTAGTGGTTCTGCCGGATTTCATCTCTTTCTCAGTCCAGATCTAGACCAAAGGTTAGCCGAGGATAAGCAAGGATTTGCTTTTTGGTTTAAATAGGCTTTAGTTCTTTATAGAATGGACTGTTCCTTTAAAATCATGGTTGACATTCTGTATTAGATATGTTCACAGTTTGTATGGGGTCTTGCTTGGCTATTGTGGTGCCTCTGCTGGCTTTCGTCTTTCTCAGTCGAGATCTAGATCAAAGGTTAGCCGTGGATAAGCAAGGATTTGCTTTTTGGTTTAGATAAGCTTTAGGTCTCTTTATAGAATGGACTGTTCCTTTAAAATCATGGTTGACATTTTGTATTAGGTATGTTCACAGTTTGTATGGGGTCTTGCTTGGCTTTTGTGGTGCCTCTGCTGGCTCTCGTGTCTTTCTTGGTCCAGCTCTAGACCAAAGGTTAGTCAAGGATAAGCAAATTCATTTCCCACCACACCAGCGGTTCATAGTAAAATAGTTTGCAGAAAGCTTACAATCAGGGTGTTGATATTGTATCTGACCTTGCAGCTCGTTAACTCTGCTTTTGTTTAATTTTCACACTGGTATTCACAAGTGTATCCTACAGAGGTTTCACCGTGGGTACGTTTAACCTGTG